CTAGATTACATGGTTACATGGAGACTTACTGATATCTGAAATCGTTGAAGTGAGTTCTTCTTGGCCAATGATGCTATAAACATATGAATTGATGTTAAGATAGAAGAAACGTGAAACAGTTCAAACGCACCAAACACGTTAGTCACTTGTAACGCAAACGTCGAATATTGCGCGAGTTTACTGCCAATTTAGTGTGAAGAAACAATGAACAATCTACATTTACTGTGAAATGGTATATTCCAGTTTTTTTTTTGACAACTTGCAGATACTTTCGATATTATGATAGAGTTGAATTTCCCCCCTTCTGTATCGTTCAGAACAGCCCAGGTATTGTAGATTTTTACACCGTTAAAAATTTGATTATGCTTGTAAACTGGCTTCTCTCATGTTAAGTTCATAATTTCAGAATAAAATATTTATTTATCATTACCAATTATGCTTATACATATTAAAAGTAAGACAGGACGGTCTGAGTGATTGCGCATGCGATATATATGAGTTGCAGAGTTTTCTTTTCACTTTAGAGCATTAGAAAAAATCTAAACGACATGTTGAAATTAGACAGATTTTGAAGAAAATGAGATATGCCTACCATAGTACTCTGGAATCCAATACATTGGATCAACGTGGTCTTAATGCGCTTTTCTGTAGAAAAACGATTATTAGGAGCGATTAAAAGATGCTTGATAAGTTTATTTTCATAACTTTAAAATCGCAAATGTATAAAGTTCAAAGGATAGAATGCCAAGAGAGCATTTTTGGTGATTAAATTTCGTAGAGCAATGGCAACATATTTGCTTTTAGAATATATGGAAGAATAAATAACTTGCTTGAAAATCACCTTTCACGATCTATGAAATAGAAGAACGCTTCTAAAAAATCGATTTGTAGGATATTTTTGGATAACGTATTACAACCCCCTAATAATATTCCTCATTGTGTTGGATAAGTTGCCACGACTGATAAGTTCAGTGTACGTTTGTCAGTCCACCAGCTCCTATGAAGAGGCCTATTATTTGCCATATTCCGGTATGTCTGGGAAGGTGAAGGTCAATCAACTGACTTTTTTTGCAACATTTGGTTAATAAGGGACATTCAAACTTGAAAATTTCATTCCATACTACTGACAAAATCCAACCAAACATCTTCAAACTTTAATATAGATGTAATACTTGGGCACTGCGATAGAATTTAACTCCACATTAGATTTGTTTATTCCATTTGTAACACACTGTGACACTATTATTTACGTGCTGACGATGTTTCCAGTATAAATTATCATAGTAAAGATGGATAGTGGCTAGCAGTGGAATCCAGGATGCTCATTTAGTCCTATTCGGAACTCGTCAGCTGGATGTACCTACCTCCTAGTGAATGATGTTGTTCCCATAGGGATGATTGTTCATTATCATAGCTTTTAATCATATCATTGTAATCACACTACTTTCGACATCTAATTTTCATAGCCGTATCACCCATTTCACATCCTTTGTTTCTGTTAGTAGTAAAATTTTCCATATCTCTAGGATAAGTGTTGCATCATTTCTGCTACATGTGTTGGATGTTGGTTGATTCGATGAACAAAGATCCAGTGATTAGTCCACCTCTCTCTCTCCACCCATTTTAATTGGACTTAAGTATAGTGGTTTCATCCCACCGTATGGTGTGGTTGTGTGTTAACGCATGAATTGCAATAGACGAGTTCTTTTCTAGATTACTGATCTTATTCGGATCTGTCGTTCTATACTTAGGTGAATTCCTGTGTTACTCTATTCTAAATGACCCTGATCAGCTAGTCTGATCTATGTACTTGACCTTGGAGTCATTGCATGGAATTTGATAGATTAGATTATTTTGTTTAACTGATTCTATCGGATCCTTCAGCCAGCCGACAACGCTTATCTTTGAGTGAGTTTGTAGGTTTAAATGACACCTTAATTCTAGTTTTACGTACATATATATTACAGAAGCCTTGATAATTTTGATAGTTTCAAGCCACAGTATTACACACAGAATATTTTGTAAGATCTATTTCGTTGTCATGGTTTAAACATGATTAACTAATAAACCCAGTGATCACAAACCTCAAAATTGGCGTAGATCTCTGAAATTCTTGCTTATTTAAAACTATCAGTTCTAAGTTACCAAAGATAATTTCCAGTTTTCATAGATTTTTTTCACTTTGATAAATTTTGAGAAAGAACAGTAACAGAACCGTTCGAAGCATAAACTGCCCTTATTTTATTTAGTGGTTTCTTATAAGGTAATAAACAGTAGTATGATTAAGAAGATTATCATGAACAATAACCAGTAAAACCATGTTAACTACTCATTTGTTAGTAATGACAACTTCTGTGCATTTTTCACCTGCGTGCAGCTGATGAGATACCGTAAAGTTGAATCTTCACATTTTATTCTGCTGAAAAAATCTCCAGTTTCACTCTGAATTTATTTGTGTTGTTATTACTTAGATGATTTCTTTTTTAGCTAAAAATAATTTAGTCAGGAAAATTTTCCCTTTCGACTGACGAGTCATTTACCGAAGCTTCACAGCTGAAGTCATAGTTAAATCAGTTACTAATAGTTCACTCTTAGGCGTCTTCTAAATCTTGAATATCTACATTAACCGCTTTCTTTAAATAGTTTACTCTGTCACACAACGTTGTCTACCTTAGTGTCACTCTTTTCTAGGAGCAGTGGATAGCCCTTTCGTCCCAGTATGAGACTGCTTGGAAGTACGCACCTACCACCACGCTCTCCAAGATGTTTAGGTTTCATATAAAACTCGCTGGCTATTCATCCAATTGGTTTGACAGGATTAAGTGGTTCACAGTTTTCTACGTTTGTCAACTTGTAATAAAGCGCTACTGTCATCTAAGGTCTTCATTTGGCATCTGCTTCCCTTCCATTTGGTTAACCTCACAGGTTATAACTTCTTATTAGAACTTCCGGATATCCATCTTTAAGCCCGCCATCAATAAGCGATATATAGTAATGCAATTTATGGGACCTTATTTTCAAGGCAGTATTCATCATGGGTCTTTAGTGCAAACTACCAACGAGTCTTATTCTAGGACGAAATAGCTGTCAAGTGTCTGGGGAGATTATGACTAAGATATGAATAAAGACTAGATATAGCTCTTTTGAACGCAGAGATCAGGATTGAATTGACAAATTTTCAAGACTTCTCCTGAGTACACCTAGAATATCCGCTCTGCCTTCAAAATGTTTGATTTGACTTTATAAATGAATTTGATGAAGATCCTAGTGAAGAAGAGTGACCGAAGTTGATGAGATGTTAGACATTTCTTCACAAACACTGATATCATATGAACTTTCCTTAAACTCATCTGGTTAGAGTAGTGTTACTTACAGCCGTTGCGTAACTCCGATAACCACCTGAAGTAACCAATCAGTTTAGAATGCCAGTTTCTTGATGAAATCTAGAAGGACGATTGGTTATCTCAACATTTGTTAGGATAACCATTAAAGTTACTGCTGTTATGAATGATAAATAGTGGTTTCACAAACACCATCAATCTGTCTCCATTTTTTCTATGTATTTTGCTAATATTTTTACCTACTGACCAAATTATGTACTAGTTTACTAAAACACACGATTCATTATCATAACATTTTGACACACATAGGCGACGACTCAGGTATGGAAAACTAAGTAAGTATTGATAAAACTCTGCCGTTTTTTGAAAGTGATTTCGTTTACCGCAGTTTTTTAAAAATTTAATGATAATTGTACTTGCCAGTAGTTATATGGGGTCAAATTCGTTAACTTTTGACAGTAGATGTACTCTAATGCAGATGCCTCAATATGACCTAGAGAATGACAATGTTGTTAGCCGTGGTTTAGGTTGTAGGCACAATCCAGCAACAATTTCAAGCAGCACCAAAGCATCCGTTTCAAAAGAGTATATGCCTAGAGAGGCCGATCAACTTGGTCTATAAAATCATTCAGAGAAGACGTAGAAGCATCAATAAATCATCATCATTTGTACCTTGGATTCTTAATGGAACATAGGAATTCAGTAGCACATCTCCATCCCACTCTCTTCTCTACACTCTTTATAACCTGGCTCCAACACAGACCACAAACTCTCATCCCCACCTCACATCATCTCCTCCGTCACCCTCAATTACAACGCCCAACTAGTCGCTTCCCATCTACATTCCACTCGACCAACAGGACTGGCCTGCCACATGATGTCCCCAGTCGATATTCTCAATCCATGCACAATCCATCTCCACTTCCTCCAACTGCATATTTGTTCAGTGACAGCTTCTTGCTTCGTTGGTTCGTTACCAGCCAGCCAGCCAGCCAGCCAGCCAGCCACAGTTCCTTATTGCTTATTCTTTCTGACCATCCATCTCATCTTCACTAACGAGTCTGCTTAGGTGGCAGTTGTTGATGAATGTGTGTAGTTTGTTGGAGATCCCTTTCGAAACGCACCAAATCTCTCAAACATCACACAGAAGCACTGATTTCACGTTCGTGTTGAAAATCTGCATCTCGTTCCACATACTGAGTGTAGTGCAGTTGATCTCCACACTGGTTTCAGGCTTATCAACACCTGTCTTGCTGTCTTTCCGATTCTGACTGGTTTTGACATCCTCGTGTGTGCGTATGCCACATGTAGTTGAAACAGTGCTGCTCTGCCTAGATAGGTGGAGGAGGCTACTTCCTTTAAGTTTCTGCTGTTGGTGTTGGTGTTGTTGATTGAGCATCTTCATCACCTCTGTCTTCTCTACGTTCAGATGCATCAATAAATAATCTATGATATTTGTAGTACAAAAGCTGTCTCTCGTGACTCACTGGCCTAATGGATGATAATCTAGGTTTTAAAATGCTGGGATGCAAGTGTTTCAGGCTGATAAGCCCTTACATATAGAGAAACATGCATCCAGGTTTTGACTACTATCCAATAACAGTAATATGCTTAGTAATTGTTTCTTATTTCAACTTTTATTGTTTTTCATTCCCATAGTTTTTGGATCCAGATAAGATTTCAGATTTATATCTACTAATTCAATGTCATGATCATGGTACACCATCATTATCTACAAAACAAACAATACACATTGAAATTTTGCCAAAAGTGTATGAAGAACAAGACGATTTAAAGTTTTTATATGTAAAACTTTTAGGAGATTTCATTAGAAATGATGTGAACTGTGTATATTTCAACGGTATACCTGTGGGAACAAGTTTAATAAATCAGTTGAAATTTGATCAACAACAAATAAGTGGGGAAAGACCAAAATTTATTCATCCAGTGTTACTTCATACTGAACAGTTTCAAGCTAAATCAAGTTTATGTTTACTTTTACAAAAAGATATACATGTTGGTCAAAAATTGTTTACAGTTATAGCTAAATATGATCATGAAAATGGAGAAAATTCTAAAATTGTTTATGAATTGATTAAAGAGATACCTGAAGGTAAGTCTTGTAAAGCTTCATTTTCATATCACACATTGAGTATTCCCATTTAAACATTTAGAAAAAAGACTGATTAAGTGAAAAATATACTCCTTTTCAATTAGGTCTTAATCTTCAGCTCAACACTAGTATATAGGCTTACAATTCAATCGAAGTACCAATCAAGTGGTGGAAGGTTTGGTGAACTCATGATGATGATAAATTTTGGAAATTATGATGTAAATAATCAGCAGAGTAATTTAAATTGGTAATGTGAAACAGCTTATTCTTAATTAAATAGAGTAATTTTTGACGAGTGTCCAGTCATAGGCAATAAACAGTTACGTAATAATGAGAAAATAAATGAATATTGATAGAAACAAGGGGTGGGAGGAAGAAGTGTACAAAGTAGTACTAGAAGTTGCATCATGTTGACCGCCACGGTAATGAAAATAGTCCAACAAACTCCGTCTAAATAAAAAGGTTAGTTTTGTAAAGGTAGATTCCAATCGCCTGTACTATGTGAAGTAAGCGAATGCGTAATCCATGTGTTTAATGAAATGAAATATGATAACTAATTTTGAAAGCCTTTCTAGTATCCACTTTATGTCCTGTGTCAACTAGGTGTGCAAACAAGGAGATTTTTATTGTTCTCATTTGTCCCTTGCTCAACCATGATAGATGATGCTCAGAAATTCAACGATGCACCTGCCTCATTGTACGCCTAAAGTAAGCAGTTCCACAAGAGCAGCTGAACTGAAAAATGCATATAGAAGTGGCAGAATCAGGCAGTTTATCTTTATTTCTTGTATTTAGAATAGCTGGGCTGCGGAAGAAGGAATATAATTTAGTGGGTGTGAATGCTTTCTTCAAGGCTCTTTTTATGCGTTGTATGATAATCTCACTGACAGTAAGACTCTTAAATTTCAGGGACTGTTGGCTTTCTTGTTTTAACTTGTTTACAAACTTGGCTGAATAACCATTCCTACTGAGCAGATGACGGATGGGGGCGAACTCTTCCTCTATAGGTTCATCTGAGCAAATAGTTATGATGCGATATGCTAGGCATTTCACCGGATTGTATCGGATGGGTACGGAACTTAAGAAGTGCATGTATTGACCACTTGATAATTATTCTGATTGAACTTTAAAGCTATATAATTGGTGTAGAGCCGAAGATGAAGACCTTATTAAAAAAGGAATATATTTCTCTGCTCAGTCAATATTTTTTCTAATTAATTTTATTGTCAATTTGAATTTTGAGATAATCCTGGTTTGGTAGACTTTTCCGACTGATTCTAGATAATAATTGAAGGTGTAATGGTAGGATTTGAACCAGTGGCCTTCGGAATACTCGCCTGATGCTCTACCACAAGTATCTGAGATGGTCAAATTCATAATCAATATGATACTGTCCGTCTGTAACTCAGATTTATTTGGATTTTGATGAAAAGTCATAGCTGTGCAACTAATGTGAATATGACGAATAGACAGTAACACATCGCGAATTCACATAACAGTCAATCAACACTCTGGGTGAATGATTTAAAAGTGAGGTCTGTTTGGCAGTCTCACAGCCTAGCTGGTGTAGAACCGACTTGGCAACCCAGAGGCTGATTTTTCGAATCGCACCGCGGCCATATTTACATCTCATCTTCCATCATTACCTAGTATTAATAAATTCACCTAACTAATCCAAGGAAGATACCTCAACTTTCATTCAGTCGCTCCGAAAACAAAAAGTTAATCTACTTGACTATACAGCCTATCAGAATCCTAAAGGAACAATATGTGGATTCCAGAAGTCTAACTGACTGGTATCCTTTACAAAAACTAAGGCGGATAGATATTTAGTAAATAAGAACCACTGTTAGTTGGCAAAAATAACAGTAAACTGCAGCAAAATTCAGTACAAGTTGAGTGAACCGAAACAGCTAATGACTGTTAAAAATAATCACCTCGATGACATCCCCGTAAAGTGTGTATTTGTTGTAAATTAACTGCACTAATAAGGGTGTCCTTCGAAAGTAGGTTTTAGCAAGTATTGATATTAATACTACTAAAAATATGGAAGCACAAGGTAACCGACTGCTTCTAATTAACAACTCACAAGCATAGCTAAAAGAGAGATCGATCTTAAAATCTTCATGTCTTTCAGTTATTAAGTTAAAGTTTAGCCACTGGGTTCTACTTCTTCGTTTCACGATATAGCACTGTCGTTATCCAACCTCACCAATGGGTATCCAACCTACCTAACGACTAGGTTGACCGCATATGTAATGACTTTTGAATAGAACTATAAGAAATCCATTCCGAAGAATGTGGTTAATCCCTATCAGACAGTAATTCGGTTTAGATCAATCCGTCATGAAAATTTCTTTGAAGTTATTCAGTTCCTACAATTCACCAACTGAAAATTACCTTTTTGTTCTGCTGAGCAGTTCTTCAATGAAGATAATGCAAGCGGTTGATTACAATTTGTCCATAGCTAAATTATTTTAACAAGATAAAACCCAATGAATTACTTGGTTTGTGAATAATATTGATACGCTTACCTTTCATAAACTGGTTTCTAGGTAGCATTCAATGCAACTGTATAAACCTATGAGCTTGACATTGATCGAAGTTTGTTACTCAAATTTCGTAAACCATAAGTAGCTACTAGATTATTGGGTTAAATGTTGTGAATATGTTTCATTGGTGAGTAGCGATAGGCTAAAAATTCAGGTTCACAGGTTTTTACTGAATGTCTCAATATCTGAAACAAGCAATTTTAGAATTTATATGTATGGAGAATATTTTTAGCTCAGGCAGATGGCTTGGGTTGTATTATGTTCTCTGAGCTAGGTTGTTTAATCGTGAAGCTTTCATTCTCTTGCTAAACGATATCACCAGCACTAACTTCAGCATGATTTCGAATGCTCAATTATAGTAACAACAAATCAACAACGCACAAAATTAGTTGCATGCAAACTGTGTTCTAAAGAGTGAGAACACACTGCAGTACAACAACTTCACACAGAAATGAAGAAAATTACTTGATGTCCACTCTAAAGAAGAATGGCTACTCACGAAACTTTATCAGATGCCTATCGCGTACATCATCAACTACAAAGTCATCGACAGAAATCAGTAAACGCATCACCCTACCATACATAAAGAATATATCAGAAATCATGACAAGATTACTGAGACCACTTGAACTCGGTGTGGCTCATAAACCAACAAATTTCCTCCAAATACCATTATGCAGACCAAAGGATGCGACAACCAAAGAAGACAACTGAATATCATTTACAAAATCAACTGCAATAACTGTAGTCAACACTATATTGGACAAAGTGGCCGCCCAAACTTCACCTTCGTCTATGTGTACACCAATTAGCTATTATACGTCACACACGACATTTCATCACTCATTTCAATGCACTTGGATAACAACTATGGACATGAATTGAATTCCGACATTGTAGAAATTTTGGACGAAGAGAGAAAACACAAAGAATATCACAGAATTCCTAGAAGCTTGGCATTCTGCTCAGTCAGTCAGCAATCAGCAGATCAAATCTATCAACCAGTGAGAAAAATGATAAAAGATACAATGGTGAGAGGTCAAGTAGAGGAACAGTCAACAGAAAAGTCTATACAATCAATGACAAAACAATCAAAGGGGGCAGTCAATCACAGACCATATCGTTAGAGCAAGCCACTAATTCACTGACGGAGAGATATTGACAGCTGACTTCATACTGAAGTTAGTGCCAATGATGTCGTCTAGCAAGAAGATGAAAGCTTCACGACTAAACAACCCAGCTTGGAAAACACAATACAACCAAGAATTTGTATATGCTACCAAAGGTTACCTAACTTCTTTATGAAAGCTTCACGAAATCCTTCTTACAAAGCATCAAAATTATATTCAGTGCTCAATAATATTCATAGTTTTACAAGCTGAAACGTTGTCTAATTAATGTTTGAGCAACAGGTCATTGTGCATACCTTACTACACTTCCGTGAAAGGACGTAAATGGAAGAAAGCTGCCAGTTTTTGGCAGCTTAAGTTATTCCCATGACCCTTCAACTCCAATCACATTGTATTCATAAAGCTATCGCTTTCCAAATTGAGTCCATAGTAGTTGTAGCTTTTTCTGAGTAAATAACTCCAGTTCTTTTATCCCAGTTGCTACTGTTTATGCAGTTTGAAGGTTGCTGAGCCGGGCACTTCATAACAAGTTAGTAGGAACCCGGTAAAGAACGCAAAACGACTCAATCATATCCAATTTGTAGTTCATTCCAATCATGTCTGCTAATATGCAGCCAATAATACTCCTCACCTCACCTCGCCTGGTTAACTAGTTCACTAGTTACTAGCCGGTCCTAAGCACTGGTAGAGAGAGAAGGTTGGGCACAGGGCTAGCAACTCTACCCCGGAAAACAAATCTAACCGCTGAAGAAACTTCAAAGCACATACAAAATATAAAAATTAAAAAAAATTATTCCTCGCTGGAATCGGAGAGGCGAAATGACGCCGGCTGGTGAAAGCATTCGGGAAGCCAATTGGACAATGTGCCTACACTTCTCTCGATGAAAGCAAAAGTAAACGTCGGGATATAGAATGTCCGCATGATGTTTGAACACAGCAAGAGAGCCCAGGTTGCAAACGAGATGAGGAGCTATCACATTGAAGTGCTAGGAATTCACGAAAGCAGGTAGAATAGAAGTGGTCTTCCCATACTGTCAACTAAAGAATCAATAATCTACTCCAATATTGTCACCCACACGACAACCACAAATACACTCAGTTTTGAGGTGGCTATCATGATGTCCCTTTCTACAGCATCAAAGGCTCTCATACAGTGGGAACCAATCTCCTCCTGCAGGATCAGGATCATGACAGCAAGGTTCAACTGAAAAGGAAGGAATGTCACAATCATTCAATGCTACACTACGCACCTACAAATAGTGCAAAACAAGAGAAAAAGGAGGAATTCTACAGACAACTGCGATCAACACTGGACAAGACCTTAGTTAGTAACATCAAAAGTCTAATGGGTGGGTTAACATAAATGTCAAACTGGGAGCGGAAAACACAGGGAGAGAACAAACCATGGGTCGAGAAGCACTCGGTGAGGTGATGAACGAGAATGGACAATTGTTTACAGAAATCTGTGCATTCAACGACTTGGTGATTGGAGTCAGGCAGTGTGTTCAAGCACAGGTATATCCACAAAGCGAGCGACATGGATTTCACCAGACACCGGGACACACTGCACTAAAAATCACATCGACTTTTTCTCAATCTCAAGAAAGTGGAGATGCACCCAACCCACTTGACACTAGCTCAAGAAGAGGAGCAGATGCAGGTTCACACCACTCACTACCTAGTACAAGGAACCTTCCAAATCAACTTGATAGCCTTCAACAAAGCTGGTGACAGACCGCAGTTCAAGTACAACACAGAGAACAGAAACCTAAGGACAAAACCACCAAGGAAATCTTCACGTCAGCCAGTCATCAAGACAAAATGCGAGATATCGAGGAACATCCATGAAGAAACCTGTGTGGAAGAACACTGGAAGTCTTTGAAAGAGATGTGGAAAGAAACCTGCACAAGTGTATTAGGAATGAAGAATAAAGAAGATGGGGAATGGATCTCGATGGATACATGGAAGCTGATAGAGCAGGGAGAGGAGGGAGATGAGGGAGAGGAGGATGGTGAAACAGAAGATAAACCAATGCAGTGCAAGCATGCACAACGTCAAGAGGAGGAACTGAGTTCAATGTATAAAACACTACACTGGACAAAGAAGTGAAGAAGAGTGCACGCAAAGACAAAAGACACTTCTACGAAACACTGGCAAGTGAAGCAGAACAGGCAGAGACAGAGACCTGACAACATCATATCAAATAACCAGCTTACTATCTGTTATGGAAGAGATCAACTCAGATGAAACCAATGGAAGATGATGACGGAAATTTAGTTACGAAGAAGAGAAAGAAAGGAAACAATGGGCTGACCACTTCAAGAAGCTCTTCAATCGACCACCACCACCACCTGCACTTCATCCAGAAATACCACATACAGCCCAGCCACACAACTACAAGTAAACATAAATCCTTCAACAAAAGTCGAAGTCCTGAATGCCATAAAGCTACTGAAGTGTGGGAGGGCAGCAGGACCAGATGGGATCCCACGAGAAGCACTAGCAGCAGACGCAGAGACAACAGTGGACATGCTCACACTACACCAGTATTGCAGGAGGTGTGGAAGGAAGAGAAGATACCTGGCTAGTGATTGGAAGAAGGCTTAACTTGTCAAACTCCTGAAGGAGGGAGACCTCAGTGTTTGCAAGAACTGGCACGGAATCACACTCCTCTCCACCAAAAGCAAGCAAAATATTAAGCCACATCATCATGGAGAGGCTAGAGGATGTATTGGATTCAAAACTACGACCAGAACAGACTGGTTGGCTGGCTTCAGGAAGTACAAATCATGTGCCGACCAAGTTGAAACGCTTCACAACATCACAGAACAGAGCATAGAATGGCAGTCGACTCTCTCTTTCTCTCTCTCTCTCTCTCTCACTCTCCCTCTACCTTAACTTCATCGATTTTGAGAAGGCGTTTGACAGCCTTGACCGAGAAGTAATTTGGAAACTGCTTCAACAACAACAACACGGAATACCACATACCTTTATCAGCCTCATTCAACAACTATATGAAGATGCCACATGCCAAGTAATTCACAATGGGAAGCTCGGTGATGCTCTTGAAGTGAAGACAGACAGGGGTGAAACAAGGCTGTCACCTTCTATCACTCATGATATTCTTGATTGTGATCGACTGGACTGGATCATGCAACAAACAGTGGGGATCGAGAACAGGGGGGGGGAGATACGCTGGCTGTACCGGGTAAAAGAACCTAGAAGACTTGGATTTGACCACCGATGACTTGTGTCTAATGTCTTGACACACAAACTTGAAGATCTACAGGTGAAAACTAACAAGTTGACAGAAGAGACAGGGAAGGGCAGAACGGGGCAGGGCAGGGCAGAGCAGCGAAGACGGGACTTCCTCAAGTGAATATTGAGAAGACAGAGGTGATGAAGATGCTCAATCAACAACACCAACACCAACAGCAGAAACTTAAAGGAAGTAGCCTCCTCCACCTATCTAGGCAGAGCAGCACTGTTTCAACTACATGTGGCATACGCACACACGAGGATGTCAAAACCAGTCAGAATCGGAAAGACAGCAAGACAGGTGTTGATAAGCCTGAAACCAGTGTGGAGATCAACTGCACTACACTCAGTATGTGGAACGAGATGCAGATTTTCAACACGAACGTGAAATCAGTGCTTCTGTGTGATGTTTGAGAGATTTGGTGCGTTTCGAAAGGGATCTCCAACAAACTACACACATTCATCAACAACTGCCACCTAAGCAGACTCGTTAGTGAAGATGAGATGGATGGTCAGAAAGAATAAGCAATAAGGAACTGTGGCTGGCTGGCTGGCTGGCTGGCTGGCTGGCTGGCTGGCTGGCTGGCTGGCTGGCTGGCTGGCTGGCTGGCTGGCTGGCTGGCTGGCTGGCTGGCTGGCTGGCTGGCTGGCTGGCTGGCTGGCTGGCTGGCTGGCTGGCTGGCTGGCTGGCAACGAACCAATGAAGCAAGAACCTATCACTCAACAAATATGCACTGGAAGGAAGTGGAGATGGATTGGGCATACACCGAGAAGACTATTAGAGGACATCACGCACCAGGTCAGTTGCTCGAGTGGAACCCAGATGAGAAACGACGAGTTGGGAGTCTGAGGTGAGGGTGACATGGAGGAGATGGTGTGAGGAGGGAATGAGAGTTTGTGGTCTGTGGTGGAGCCAGGTTATAAGAGTGTAGAGAAGAGAGTGGAATGGAGATGTGCTACTGAATTCCTATGTTCCATTAGGAACCCAAGAGACAAATAATGATAATAGTAGTGCTGCTCTCTGCACCTTGACTCAACCATGCTGAGAGATGTTCGTGAGCGTGGAAAGTTAAATTCCTGGAGCAGCGGCTGAGGTAACTGGCTCCACGAATACAGTCGAACTGATAAACACAACAAAAAGTGACCAGTCTAGGTAATTTAACTTTCAGTCTGAGTGTCGCCACTAAGCATGTAGAGAACGTAATTTCTATTTTAGCAGCAATGAAAGTACTTCAAACTGATCTGAGTGGTTTGTGAATTAATATCTCCCTGAGCATGTCACCTTCAAAGTGTACGCGAATTACCAATGGTTTCCTGCCAGTCACTGAAATATCCTTTCTTCTCATTTGTGTAGTTATACATTTCTTGATGAATTTATCAGGAGAGCCATTTTCAATTGATGTCGCATAATGTCTTTAATTCCTCCTCAATTGTATCTTCCAGGCATGCAACCTTTATTCTGTAACTTAAAGTTTTAACTAAATTTGTTTTTTACTGAAGAGAGACGAAATTCAGAAGATGTGTATTTCTCCTCTCCATGAGCAACCTCCTCTTTATCAATCCATCTATTGGTCTTAAGAGAGGCACATTTCCATTTTTACGCAGATATGACAGACAATTTTTCTTAAAAATCTTTTTTCGAAGAACAATTTCTTTGTGTGGTTGAACATCTTTCTAATCATTCCATTTTTGTAGTTCATAGGACTGAAGTTTTAAAGTCCAGATAAAATCTGTTTCAGGTCGTCTTTCGATGAAGGTACCTCTGTATTTTACCATCTGTGTCACGTTAAATGTTAAGGCCCGGAAAAAAAAGCATCACAATCTTGATACTTTATTGTATGTTTTAAATTAGGGTAAGTAGCATTGAGACCATTGGGCATTACGAACGCATAATTAACATATCTGATATCAAGTTCTAAGCTGTCTGCCTATTTCTTATATGTTTTGTATGTTAACTTAAACAAATGTGGTTATACTATCAGTTTGACAGTCTTAGATAGCAGCAGTTTGGCAGACCTGTATTATGACCGACGACTGAAGGCGAAACGAAAATATGGGTTGCGATCAGACTCCAACTAGCGACCTCAAGATTACCTGCCGGTGTTATACCAATTAGACTACGAAACTTATCTGCTGAACAGATCTTAATATCCCTTCACTTCAGAATGAGAAGTCCTAATCGGAAAACCAGTGTGAATACCATGAACAGTCAGTAATGCATCACTGACTCACATGACATTCAGCTGAAACTCTTGGTGATTTAAGTAAAATTTAGATTGCATTAGTAGCTAGATTTAGTAGTAACTTTTCAAAGTGTAATAATTTTATGGCAAACGTATTAACAAGAGTGTAGTGTAGTAGATGATTACTCATAGATTTCAGAAGAAGCGAATCAGTTTAGTTGATACGTTCAATGTCATATCGTTTAATCATTTCCAATATAATTTTCAAAATTTAGCCTATTAAACATCTCTACTTTCATTATAGAACATACTTTCAATATCCATCCAACTTCTGGTATAATACAATTGTATAATACAAAAATGATAAACCAGTCAATGAGAAAGCAATTAATTATACAAGCTTCAAGAATTGGCACTTTATATGATTATTCAAAACACTTGAACCATAAAATTCATCTACTAATTAATTTAACCTTTATTGATATCAATTTATCAGTATTATCAGTAAGAAACTCTCAAACTGTTAACAATACAATTTACTTAATGAAGAGTGAAAATGATATCTTGACAAAGGTCTATTCAAATCATACATATACATTTTATGTTGAAGAATTATTGCCACCAGGAAGTCCTGTACTAGGGAATACTATTATTTATTGTATGAGTAATAATGTTTATGAAGTGGATAAAAATTCCAATCAACAATGTGAATTAAAGTTGAATGAAATTGACACAGTTTTGTTACCATATGAAAAAAAATCAATAAACTTTTACCTATTACCTACTACATTCATATGTGACAACCTATCACAAGCATTATGCAATGGTTATACAATCCATACAATAGTTTACTTGATCGTGAGAGACAAGATCATCATATTCTCACTTTAACAACAATGGAACATTATGAAAACTCTGTGAACATTTTTCTTTATATACAAGATGTAAATGATAATTTCCCTGTGTTAAAAGAACCATTTTATTCAACAAATCTACTGCCAACATTACTAGAAAAGATTTTCTATGAAATGGCTATAGAAGCACCTTATTATGTAACAAACTTATCAATTTCATATAAAGTACCACAAGATTGCGTTATCATTCAATTGAAAGCAGAAGATAAAGATATTGGTGATAATGCAAAACTGAGTTATTCTCTGCACCGAATATGGTCACTTCTTGAAAACTTCAACAGTCATAGTGAAAAAGTTGAAGAGAATGTTCAACATCTTATGGAATTGTCAGAAAGATCTTTCATGTCACTGAATAGAAACACAGGAGTACTCAGTATAACTAGACAACTATTGTTAGATGATATAGGAACGTGAGTTAATACACAATTCCTAAATTCACTAATATTTTGCTTTGCTTATAAAGTTTATCGAATGTGTTTCCTATGATCTCTATCAAGGGTTATTGGTGCGCACTACTAAGGATGAAACAGCTGTCCGATGTTCCATAGTTTTTAATGGCCCTCTAAATTGTTTCAATCTACGATCAATATCAAAGTGAATCAGATCAGTGTGTCTAGTTTCACAAAGTGTATGAATTTAGGCAGCTAACATTAAAATACTGATCCTACCAAAAATTAGTAAGAAATCCATCTTCATTTCATATTTTGCCAAGCCTATGTCAACATTGCTTTGACAGCGTCGACCGACAGGTAATTTGGAAACTGCTTCAATACTACGGAGTACCGCAAACCTTTATCCGCCTCATTCAACAACCATATGAAGATACCACATGTTAAGTAATTCACAATGGGAAGCTCAGTGATGCTTTTGAGGTGGAGTGAAGACAGGAGTGAAACAAGGTTGCCTACTATCCCCCGTGATATTCCTGATTGTGGTCGACTGGATCATGCAGCAAACAGTAGGCAGCGAGAAGAGGGGGATACGCTGGACGGCGGAAAAGAACCTAGAAGACTTGGATTTCGCCAGTGATGACTTGTGCATAATGTAAGGCAGGCAAAAACTAACAAGTTGATAGAAGAGGCAGCGAAGACGGGACTTCCTTCAAGTGAATATAGAGAAGACAGAGGTGATGAAGTTACCCAACCAACAACAAACTCCAGTCACCATCAACGGGAGAAACTTAAAGGAAGTAACCTCCTTCACCTACACCTATCTAGGAAGCACTGTTTCAACTACAGGCGGGACGGACGAAGACGTCAAAGTCAGAATCGGAAAAGCAAGACAGGCCTTCATTAGCCTGAAACCAGTGTGGAGATCTTCTGCACTCAGCATGTGGAACAAGATACGGATTTTCAACACCAACGTCAAGTCAGTGCTCCTGTATGATTCAGAGACTTGGCGCGTTACGAAAGGCATTTCCAATAAACTACAGACATTCATCAACAACTGCTTACGCTGGCTCGCTACTGAAGATCAGATGGATTGCCAGAAAGAATAAGCAACAAGGAACTCTGGGAACGAACCAACCAAGAACCTATCACGCAACAAATATGCAATGGAAGGAAGTGGAGATGGATTTGGCATGCACTGAGAAGACCGACTGAGGACATCACGCGTCAGGCCAGTCACTCGAGTGGAATCCCCATGGGAAGCGACGAGTTGGACGTCCGAGGAGAGGGTGACATGGAGGAGGTCGTGCGAGGAGGAAATGAGAGGTTGTGGGCTGTCGTGGGACCAGGTTCAAAAGATCTCAGAGAACAGGATGAAATGGAGACGGGCTACTGAAGCCCTGTGTTCCACTAGGAACCCAAGGGACTAATAATAATAATAATAATAATAAAACATTTACCCCAAACGTTTTAACTATTTATCGGAAGTTTAATGAACTAATCTGTAACAGAAATTCGCTAAGCATGAAAGCTGAGTTTTTGATACAACCACATGCTGAACAGTAGACGCATATTGAGAAGATGCCACAAAGATACTTCATATAGTGAGTTGATTAACTAAAATAGCGAAATATTAAAAAATGAAGAATGAATGAATGAAATCTAACTGATTATCTTAATTATTTCATTAATTGTTACTATTACTAAACATTATCTCATCTTTTTCTCTTCAGATATATTTTATATGTAATAGTTCGAGATCATGGTAAACCTCAACAACTGACCACAAATTGTATTATATACCTCAGTGTATTACAAATGGGAATACATCAAAGACCTGTGAATGATTTGCCTGATTCACTTGCAAACAATCATCTAACATCACAATTACTTACTTCAACAGCTTCTTCTTCCATAAATTTTTTCAACACAAATGAATATGATACATCACAACTTGCTTCAAACGATCTTTCTCAATTTAGTCGAACTCATAAACTATTCAAAAAGCCTAATCGTTTATTACTGATTACTGTTGTCGGTAGTGTATCCACTTTATTACTAATAGTCATTACTATAACTATTTTATGTATCTTATTTCGTATAAAATTTAAATCTACAAATACTCAAACAGAGTCAATAAAACTTGATGAAATAAAATATGACTACAATTCAGGAAATGGTAATATAATTGCTGATGAACAAAATAATCTACTTTGTTCCCCAGTATATAAAAAGACAATTTCATTCGATTATATTAAAAGAAGTAACTGTAATAGCTTGAATGAATTAGTTCAAGCCAGTTATAATAATTCTAATTTAAGTACAACATCTATAACAATATATAATCCATATTCTTTGCATAACAATTTAACAAATTCTCAGAATGATATAACAAGTTCACGTAAGTTCAGAATATTCAATGTTCAACTCCTTTTGTTTATTTGCAATATTTTTATTTATTGCTTAAGTCAGTCACTTTAAAATTCCTATGATTATTCAATAGACACTTTAACAAGCAAATATGACTTCTTCTAGATAAATGTTTCATCCAGTTCTAAAATTACATATACATATTGTTCAATCAGATAATAAATGATGTAGGTGATAAAATGATAGTGGGTGGTCAAAATCAATTATCCAAGAGAGTTGCCGACTTCCGAAAGCCTGGCAGTAATGACTTAAAATATTTTAAGCGGAATGCCTACAGCTACTACTATCACTTGAAGTATATTGAATCCGGTAGCCTTTTAAAAACTAATAGCGATATGGTTAATGGTAGAAAACGATTAATTCATATTCATCTAATGGTCAGTGTGAATTTAATGAGCTGATGTTGAGCTTTTTACATTTTATTTTAAACGGAAAATTCCATTTGCCATGCTGAGTGTGCTTACAAGCACGGAAAATTAATCTCCTAGAACACTGGCCAACATAAATGGTAACAAAAGAGTAGTTGAATTGATAAACAGTAATGCAATTTGGCGTGTAAAAAATGCAAACTGTAACTTTCCAGTATTAAGAAATCGTTGGATAGATTGGCAGAAATTCTGAGTGACTATTTCACATGAAACTTTCCCTCCTAACATTTTTTCCGCTGAACCTCAAATCAAGCGAGGAAAGCAATATTACAAACATACTAAGGAAGTGGTAGTTCATTCAGTGTACGAATTGACAAGTAGGAGCATCTGGCAACATTAGTGTATGCGTATTAGCTTACCTGCTTCTCCTGAGTAGAGTAACTTGGTCACATCACGCACCAGATTGCGACATATGCTCATCGGCTGTATCCAGCCTGACTGTGTCATGTGTCATGGACGCAAACACATCTTCAGCTCTATAGACTGATAATGAATAAACTCAGAACACGAAACACCTTCTGATAAATCCACAAAAATTATTTATAAATTATGATTAAGACATCTGAGAAGAGAAAGTATACGATAACCAGGTATAACTGACGCGTTAGTAACTTAAAAGTTTAAACCATCATTGGGGATCCACCCTACTTAAATAAGCATTCCACTTAGTTTCTTTGTCGTGTAATCATATTCTGTCGTCTAGTCCTTTCTGCATTCTCCTTTCATCAACTCGTATATCTGGCATTCATAGCTGCTGGTACTGACGTAAGAAGTATCAGCTGCCTTGGCTAAACAATCCACTTTGCTGGAAGCGGATTAAAATCGATTAAGATCTGCTTTATCAAACACCTACCCTTAAATATCAGTTTGAAATGATCCAGTTTTCCAAATAAGCACACATTTGAATTTGAACTTCAGTGGACTGCCTAAATGTTAATAAGATTCATAGTTCTAGGTTGCAGCAGTCTCAGTGGTTCCTAACAGGCCACCTAATAATTACTAGACTGAGAATGTTAGTCTGAGCTGCGTTGAGAAACACAAGCTTCCACGTAACTATAGAAATCAGTTGGTAAAGACTCTTGGTGAGAATGCTTAGAATCGACTTCAGTTGTATCCACATTTACCTTTATGTTAATCTGCATACTGAATTTCAATATTCTGTCATTCTCTTTTACTCTGTTTCTACAAATTTCTATCCCTTTTGACCGCTTCAGAAACTGTTGTTTCAACTTTCAACTTGGTGATTTCGTATTTAATGTACTGATATTAGGTGAGACAAACCGAACTGTAAAACAGTAATGTCAGGTCCGGTTTTAACTTTGTCTCTTCTTTTTATCTCCTTGCCTATATTCTTACTTCAGAAGTTTGTTAACTTTGAAAGTTAAACAGGCTTTAAAATGTATATCCTAAAACTATATTGCGTTCACTTTCAGTTGAATAGGCGAAAAATAATGAAAGTGAGATAGATGTAAATTATAAGTAGCAAACAGTTGGAGACGAGAAATATTTAATCTTATCGCGTTTGTGTAAGCTTTGTAACTCTGTATAATAATCAAAATGATTTTATAGACTTCAGGATCAAAATTTGACCTAATAGGGTAGAATAAGTTGAGCATTGAGTAATTGGATCATAAATGAAATATATTTGTAAAAATCCCAATGATGTAGAAAAATAAATTTCTGATATCTCACAGTTTTGTGGAAACCGTTTCTCCATAGGATCTTCCTCTAATCTCCTGCGAGTAACTAAAAGACAACGAAGTAAAATACTGAATAAATATTGGGTGCGATTAGACAAATCCCTTTGCTATGGATGCACTTCAAGGTTCGAAATAGGTGCTTTCAAAAAGATAGTCTAGAATAGATGAATTTGTCCAGGAATTTTAACTTCGCTTAGATCTTCTATTATAATAGGGATTTTTATCCATGTGGTCAACCCTAACCTAACAGATTATATAATCAATGAAATAAAAGTAGACATACGCGCACTATATACGAGCTTGACTCAATGAGACAGATGTCTCCAAGTGTTCTTAGCGTTTATGTATGACTATGAACGTTTGGTCGAACAAAGATTGATTATGGGTGTTCGACACCAGGACCGGGAAAGCAAGGCAGGCCTTCTTTAACCTGAATTCGGTGTGGAGATCTACTGCACTGCACTTCACTCAGCATAAAGCGTGAACGAGATCCGGATTTCCAACACTAAGTCAGTTAAGTCAGTGCTTCTATATGGTTCAGAAACCTGGTGTGTTAAGGAAAACATTCCAAACAAACTCTAGACATAAATCAACAGCTGCCGCCTGAGCTCGACACTGAAGATGAAGATCAGATGGCCAGAATAACAAGAATAAGCAAGAAGAAATTCTGGCTGGCAACGAATCAACAAACCAAGAACCAATCTTCCAACAAATATGCAGAATACGAAAGTGGAGATGGATTGGATTGGACATACATGGAGAAGACCGACTAGGAACATCACGCGTCAGGCCAGACCGTTGAGCGGAACCCAAATAGGAAACGACGAGTTGGGCATTGGAGGCAAGGATGACATGCAGGACATCATGCGAGTAACAAATGAAAGCTTGTGGGCAGTCGTGGAGCTAGTTTGAAAAGACTTTAGAGAAGAGGGTGAAATGGAGACGTGCTACTGAAGCTTTATGTTCCACTAGGAACTAGGAAGTCCCGTCTTCGCTGCCCTACACTGCCCTGCCCTGCCCCGCCCTGTATCTTCTGTCAACTTGTCAGTTTTCACTTGTAGATCTTCAAGTTTGTGTGTCAAGACATTAGACACAAGTCATCGGTGGTCAAATCCAAGTCTTCTAGGTTCTTTTACCCGGTACAGCCAGCGTATCTCCCCCCCCCTGTTCTCGATCCCCACTGTTTGTTGCATGATCCAGTCCAGTCGATCACAATCAAGAATATCATGAGTGATAGAAGGTGACAGCCTTGTTTCACCCCTGTCTGTCTTCACTTCAAGAGCATCACTGAGCTTCCCATTGTGAATTACTTGGCGTGTGGCATCTTCATATAGTTGTTGAATGAGGCTGATAATGGTTTGTGGTATTCCGTGTTGTTGTTGTTGTAGCAGTTTCCAAATTACTTCTCGGTCGACGCTGTCAAAGGCCTTCTCAAAATCGATGAAGTTGAGGTAGAGAGAGAGAGAGTTGACTGCCATTCCTTACTCTGTTCTGTGATGATGTGAAGCGTTTCAATTTGGTCGGCACATGATTTGTACTTCCTGAAGCCAGCCAACCAGCCTGTTCTGGTCGTAGTTTTGAATCCAATACATCCTCTAGCCTCTCCATGATGATGTGGCTTAATATTTTGCTTGCTTGGGTGGAGAGGAGTGTGATTCCGTGCCAGTTCTTGCAAACACTGAGGTCTCCCTCCTTCAGGAGTTTGACAAGTTAAGCCTTCTTCCAATCACTAGCCAGGTATCTTCTCTTCCTTCCACACCTTCTGCAATACTGGTGTAGTGTGAGCATGTCCACTGTTGTCTCTGCGTCTGCTGCCAGTGCTTCTAGTGGGATTCCATCTGGTCCCGCTGCCCTCCCACATTTCAGTAGCTTTATGACATTCAGGACTTCCACTTTTGTTGTAGGATTTATGTTTACTTGTAGTTGTGTGGCTGGGCTGTATGTGGTATTTCTGTACGAACTGTAGGTGGTGGTGGTTGTGGTCGATTGAAGAGCTTCTTGAAGTGGTCAGCCCATCGTTTTCTTTGTTTATCCTCTTTCGTAACTAAATTTCCGTCATCATCTTTTATTGGTTTCATCTGCATTGACTTCTTCCATAACAGATAGTAAGCTGGTTATTTGATATGATGTTGTCAGATTTCTGTTCTCTTACCTGCAGCTGCCTGTTCTGCTTCACTTGCCAGTGTTTCCTAGAAGTGTCTTTTGTCTTTGCATGCACTCTTCTTCACTTCTTTGTCCAGTGTAGTGTTTTATACATTGTACTCGGTTCCTCGTCTTGTCGTTGTGCATGCTTGCACTGCACTGGTTTATCCTCGGCTTCACCATCCCCCTCTCCCTCATCTCCCTCCTCTCCCTGCTCTATCAGCTTCCATGTATCCATCGAGATCCATTCCCCATCTTCTTTCTTCTTCATTCCTAATAAACTTGTGCAGGTTTCTTTCCACATCTCTTTCAAAGACTTCCAGTGTTCTTCCACACAGGTTTCTTCATGGATGTTCCTCGATATCTCGCATTTTGTCTTGATGACTGGCTGACGTGAAGATTTCCTTGGTGGTTTTGTCCTTCAGTTTCTGTTCTCTGTGTTGTACTTGAACTGCGGTTTGTCACCAGCTTTGTTGAAGGCTATCAAGTTGATTTGGAAGGTTCCTTGTACTAGGTAGTGAGTGGTGTGAACCTGCATCTGCTCCTCTTCTTGAGCTAGTGTCAAGTGGGTTGGGTGCATCTCCACTTTCTTGAGATTGAGAAAAAGTCGATGTGATTTTTAGTGCAGTGTGTCCTGGTGTCTGGTAAAATCCATTTCATATTGTTACATGGAATTCACTTCTTAAGAGAGAAAGCATAAT